ATACAACGGTCATTAAATATAAAAGTGGTCCATTAGGTGGAGATCAACAACTAGGTGCACAAATAACTGACCAAAAGATCGATATTTTAATATTTATGATCGATCCACTGACCGCACAACCCCATGATGTTGATGTTAAAGCCTTGCAACGTATAGCAGTGGTGTGGAACATCGTACTGGCCTGCGATATAGCGACAGCTGATTTTATTATGACATCACCATATATGGAAGGCATATATACAAGAGAAGTTTCCTCTTTTTCTACTTACCTTAATCGTACAATTCCTTAAATTTATTTACTTTATTGTTAAGTTCCTTTTAATGAAAGTATTTTTAATGGTGCTCCGATACCACAAATTCTTGTGTCATGAGCGAGAAGTCTCGTATAATGAAGTAAAAGTTTCCAGGGCTAAAGTAAAGTTAACGGCTAAAACTCTCATAGGCAGTGGTGTAATCAGGATTTTTAGACCAATGGACAGATCTCTATTGTGTCAGAAAAAAACGATGAGAGAAATGGGCAAGGCTTTTATTGATGGACCAAAACATTTTTGGCCTATCAAAGTATGGGCGGGCCAAGACAGATTTTTTTGTGTATCGCAAAGGTCCTGCGTCTTGCAGAAACTTGAATGAAATGAAATGAGGTTCTTTTAATCAAATATGCATCAAACTCAAATTTTAAGCCTAGGTCAGGTGTGTTTTAACAACAACTGGAATTATCATTAGTCGCTGTAGTTGTAATTGTAGTAGCTGAAGGTGTATTTGAATTTGGTGTTAAATTTTCAGTACCAGTACGTGTCTTTTTGAAAGAAAAACTGTACTTTAATAACGTACCGGATCGCTTTTCATTCGACAAAGCTTAGTATATAGCTTATTATTGACAATTCTGTTCGAAACTGAGAACATAGTAGAGCGAACATATTATAAAAGTATACACATACACATGGGCGAGCAAAGGAAAAAAAACAAGCATAAGTTAAAATACAAGAAGCGATTCTTTTCTTCTTAATTCTTCTGAGAAAGAACAGGCAAAGAGTGCATGTGGGATTTAGACGGAAGAAAAAAATTACATTTACTATCTAATTCAAAAATAAACAAACAATTCTGAAGAAGTACAATTTCAATGGGGCAAAACTTACTCATATCACCGACAAAAAATTAAAGTTCATTTAGAGTTAACGAAAAGTGCTTTTTCGTATTCAGCACACTTGATAACCTGGAAAATTTTCTATTTCTAGCGAGGAATATCGCCAAAAAGTTAAGAAAAATTTTCAAAATTGTATAATTTTGCCATGGAAATTTTTCTGCGTTACTTTGTTTGAAAATTTTTCTTACCTTTTTGGCGGCACCCCTCGCTAAAAATAGAAAATTTTCCAGGTTATCAAGTGTGCTGAATACGAAAAAGCACTTTTCTTTAACTCTAAACAAATTTTAATTTTTTTTTTATCGGTGATATGAATAACGATTACAATGGGCAAATCGCCAAATGAAATGGACAATTTCCCATCTGCCTTCCCCCCTTCCGCTTAGTTACGCCGCTGCTCATAAGGCGTAAAGTTCAACCTCCTGTTTAAACTAAAATTCTCATGTCATAAAGGAAAATTCCGGACTTGAGAGAACTTGTACTTAGTTTGTTCTAAGTGACTTGCTTATGCTTCTTTGTAGGGGAAAGTTCACATGGTAAAACTAAAGATCTCATGGGACAAATTAACTTCTTAAATTGATGGAACTCGGGCACTGCTGAACAAAAAAACTTGTTCTATATGCAGCTGGATTTACTCTACAACCTGGTAGCCATCAAACGTAAGCCAAAAGTTGTGGTTTTCTTTTCTGAATAATTTGCCTCGATCATAATCGACTTCAACAAAAAAATTTCAGTTGAATACCAAAATTTCTCCTCAAAATTTCAAAATGATCCCAGAAATGCATAGAACACATCAGATTTTGCAAGGACAAACCGTAATGATAAATACATTTTTGTTTCGTTTAGGTAAACCAGTAAGTCCTTAGCAAAATCATCTTTTCAAAAGGCACATCAAGTCAAAAAAGTAAATCCGACTTTAGTATGTAGAAGTTTACTATTCAAAAGAGCAGAAAAAATTGAAAATATAATAAGATTCTACTTTTAGTCGAACATCCTAAGAAAGAATTTATTAAAGATCATAAAGAAACCTACTTGAAAGCATTTTCATTGTTTTTTATATAGATCAGATGAGATCGGGATAGCCGAATGACTAGACGCTTTTCTGTCCTCTGTTCGTGCGACACCGCACCCGATCTATATATTGTCGTAGATCACAATGGTTATGTTGGATTTGGCTAAAACCTTTTGTTATGACAGAAAAACGCAAAATTCGGCCAAGAAATCGTTAACAAAACCGTGCTCGGCATGGACAGATTTGCCAAACTAGATGCTCACAAGAAATATTGATATCTGAGCCTAAATTACTTTGAGACAAAATTTTTTATAATCCCGTTTGTTCTTGATTTTATATCGCAGTATATGGATTTTGGCATGTGCAGTCTGACTGATCCAAGTGCATGAACAGAAAAAGACTTTTCTTCATTTTTAAACACAGAATTGAATTCTGCATCTATTCTACATTATTTTTCATAATAAAAACATCTTATGAAACAAATAAGCTTGACTATTCAATTCTGGTTGATGACGAAATTTTGACCTTGTGAACAGACAAAGTACAGACAATATGTGAAATCACGAGCTCATATTTCAAATTTTACTCAGTTCACCGAGCTCTACAGCATATATAAGTGAAAAATTGAAAAATTTTAACATATTTCATCGATTCATATACTCGAAGCATAAAGTTAGACCTAAGTGGAGATGCTTAGATTGGTTTACGGCAGAAGGTGCGCAAAAACAATTCTGTCAAAACCGCCTGCATTCTCTGTGGATCAGACAAGAAAAAAGTAAAAGTTAAGTAAACGCTAAGTTGTGACATACACGTAACCCAACTTAACTTTTGCTTAATTTCGATACATTTTTGGCCTTAGTTTAAACTTTTTATTTAAAGAATTCAAAAAAAAGAAACAAGAAAAGAAGACCAAACAAGTGAAATCGTTGTCCCAAGGACTACATTGTATCTCCTAAGAGGAATCCTTAAACAGAACATCATCATAAAATAAAAATGGACGAAAAGAAAAGAAAAACGTTGGAGAAAGAAGAAAAGAACATAAAGGGAGAGCAATAAAAATAGATGAAGAAAACTGTGTCAATAGGAGAAAAGCACCTAATATTGGTGTTTTAGAAACAAGGGAGTGAATCAGTTAAATCTGTAAAAGTGAAAAAGTAGAGGACGTAGTCTGTTAGAAACGCTTACTGGCAGTAATAAAATCACCCACAAACTGACACACAGATATCAAGAGATCACTGGATAAATGTG